AGATTGACCAGTGGTGTTATAACCTCTGGTACTAGAATGGTGAATGGTCGTCCTTTGGATTCTTCTTTCCAAAGATCAATTGGGTATGTCCAACAACAGGATTTGCATTTGGAAACTTCCACAGTCCGTGAAGCTTTAACTTTCTCTGCCTACTTAAGACAACCTCAATCAGTTCCAAAAGCTGAAAAAGATGCTTATGTTGATTATATTATCCATTTATTAGAAATGGAGAAATATTCAGATGCTATTGTTGGTGTTGCTGGTGAAGGTTTGAATGTTGAACAACGTAAAAGATTAACCATTGGTGTTGAATTAGTTGCTAAACCTAAATTATTGGTTTTCTTAGATGAACCTACTTCAGGTTTGGACTCTCAAACTGCTTGGTCTATTTGTAAGTTGATTAGAAAATTGGCTGACCATGGACAAGCTATTTTATGTACTATTCATCAACCTTCAGCCATTTTAATGAAAGAATTCGACAGATTGTTGTTCTTGCAAAGAGGTGGTCAAACCATTTATTTTGGTGATTTAGGTAAAGACTGTACTACTTTGATCAACTACTTTGAAAAATATGGTGCTCCAGAATGTCCTCCACAAGCCAATCCAGCTGAATGGATGTTACAAGTTATTGGTGCTGCTCCCGGATCTCATGCTAATCAAGATTACCATGAGGTGTGGAAAAATTCAAGTGAATATAAGGAAGTTAATAATGAATTAGACCAAATGGAAACCGACTTACCTAAAAGACCTCATGAAACTACCAAGGAAGACACCAAACCATTTGCAGCTTCTTATGTTTCTCAATACTTATATGTCACGAAGAGAGTTTTCGAACAATACTGGAGATCGCCTTCTTATACTTGGTCAAAACTTGCTATGTCAGTTTTCACTGGTCTTTTCAATGGTTTCACATTCTTCAAGGCTGATCGTTCTCTTCAAGGGCTTCAAAATCAAATGTTTTCGGTTTTCATGTTTTTCGTTATCTTCAATACGTTGGTTCAACAATATTTACCATATTTTGTTTCTCAAAGAGATTTATATGAAGTAAGGGAAAGACCTTCCAAAACCTTTTCGTGGGTTGCTTTTATTGCTGCACAAATTACCGTTGAAATCCCTTGGAATATAATCTGTGGTACTTTAGGTTTTTTCTGCTGGTACTATCCATTAGGTCTTTATCAAAATGCTGTTCCTACCGATACTGTTAATCAAAGAGGTGGTCTTATGTGGTTTGTAATTGTGCTCTTCTTCATTTATTGTTCAACTATGGCTCAATTATGTATCTCTTTCATGGAGATTGCTGATAATGCTGCTAATCTTTCCCTGTTGTTATTCACCATTTGTTTAACTTTTTGTGGTGTTTTAGCTACCAAAGAAGCTATGCCTAGATTTTGGATTTTCATGTACAGATGTAATCCATTCACATACTTGGTTTCGATTATTTTATCAACAGGTTTGGCCCATTCGACAGTTGAATGTGCTAAAGAAGAATACTTGCATTTCACCCCAATCAATGGCCAAACTTGTGGTGAATACATGAAAAACTATATGCTGGTTGCAGGTGGTTATTTGGTTGATTCTTCAGCTAAGGACAGCTGTGAATTCTGTACCGTAGCTTCAACCGATGTTTACTTGAAAGGAATTGGTGCAGATTACACAACCAGAGGACGTGACGTTGGTATCTTCATTGCTTTCATTATCATCAACATGATTGGCACTGTTTTATTCTATTGGTTAGCTAGAGTTCCAAAAGGTACTCGTCAAAAGAAATAGTTAGCCCAAATCTATACATACTTATATATACTATGGTCTTTTTTTAGTTCAATACTAGGTTCTTTATACCTGCTCTTATATAGATTGCTTTAATAAATTAATATGATATATTTGAACTTTTAGATTGAAGTTTAGATTTTGCATCTTCTGAGATAGTTGATAATTTTTTGAGAACGAAAAAAAAAAAAATCAAAATCAAAACTTAAGTAGTCAACTAATGGAGAACGAATGATTGATGTACCATGTCGTTCCAACAGCCTCCTCAGATTCTTAGGATCAAAAGAAAAAGAGGCCAGGATCCTTTGCAAGCATTGATTTTAGAGGAAAGACGTCCTGCCAAAAGATCAAAACCATCATCTCCAGTTTCTTCGACTACTATAAGTCGAGCACAAACTCCAGTATCTGAGCCGAGTAATATCTATTTTGCCTTGACAAGAACTGATGAAAGCTCTAACATAGATGAATCAGCAATTCAGTCAATTCTTTCGGAGGCCAGTAAGCCAGATGGAAATGATGTTACCAATATCAGAAAAAGAAAATTTGTAATTCCAAAGACACAGACTGAAGAAGACACTTACATTCCGAATGAGCTATCGGATATGGTTAACTCATTCTTGAATGTGAATGAAGCTGACCAGCCTAAACGGAAGAGAAGAACCCGGGGTGGGGGAGTCACTAATACTGAAAGCAAGCCAGCGAACGAAGCATTACAACCTTCTGGGGATGATTCATCAGAGGACCCACTTTCCGATTACGTTTATGACGTCTATCAAATTTCGTCTGAACCATTAACGAACGAAAATCATCCCCAGTCTCAAATTGGTTATATCAGGTTTTTTGATGATGACGAAAATGGTCTCTACCAATCTGATGATGATGATGACCCGACACGTAAAATATACTCAGATGACGAGGATTCGAATGCTGAGTCTTTCTACCAAAATGACTACCCCAGTGACGAAGATGCTGGCGTTTTAAGTGAAACATACTCTTCTGAAAATGAAAATTTAGGCCCAGTTATAATAGAGAGACCAGAGGATGCAGATGGTGTTGACTACCTAAAAGGTGGGGGAGATGAAATAGGAGAGGAAAATCTTGAAGATTTATATGGTGAGTTCTTCGATGATGAAGACTCGCTTGATGTAAACTTCTTGCCGGATGACCATGGAGGAGAGGAGCATTATAAACGTCAAAATTTTTTTCCTGGTGAAGAAGAAGACGAAATGGCTATTCATAGAGATAAAATTTTTGGGAGGTTGCAAAGAATGATCGATGAAGAGCCTTAGTTAGTTTACGTTTTGTATTAAAAGTATACATGCTGTCTTATTTATACTATTTACACGATTTATGAAAAGAAATATTTACTGTTTAAAACTTCTTTAATTTCCAAGTCTCCTGTACTTGGTGGATCTAAGATTTTAACGGGTATTAGAATTGGCACATAATCTTTCTTTGAAATTTTGAAGAATGCATCTTTCTCTGTAGATTTATTTTCGTAAATTGCAGCAAGATTGTTATGTTTGATTAAATAAACATCAGGTTTATAAGTGTTGTATAAACTAAGAACTTTTTCGGGGTTTTCCAATTCTGCTGCTAAACATTTATTGTATGATTGAGGTTTAACCTTGGTTAATCTTAAGAACTTTTGTCTTAAACTGTCTATTTGTTCAGCAAATTGTATGTGTTTTGTTCTGTTGAACCATACAAGTTGAAATGAATCCCTTGCAGTATACTTCAAGTCTAGTTCCATGTGTCGAATTATATCAGATGTATACATTCGTACGAACTCCTCTCTGATGATTTTAGATAATATTTCAACTTCATTTGGATGTGTCCAAAATGAGTCGTGAACTGAAGCAAACAGGATATTATTCTGATGGGCAGCTAAAGCAGTCATCATCATATGTGTAGCATCCAAGGAATGGATAAAATTGGGTGCTACTGAATGTATATGTTTCACAATGTCAACCCTTTCTCTGACTTCGGGCCGTCTGAGTCTATACATAAACAAAGGAGTTTTGAGAAGCCTATCGTAATAGGATTTATACTGCTGAACAACTGGAAATCCAGAAATGGATGTCCACATCATATTCTTATAAGAGCCTTTGAAAAAATCAAAACTGTCAAAACTTTTTACGGTTCTAAGATCGTATGAAGTTATAATTCTGTAACAATTTTTGGTCATCCAATGTTCAATTGATTTAGCTTCCGAAAACAAAGTTGAAATTGCTTCAAGGATATGATTTGCTATGTAGGAAGAAAGTTGGTTGATTAATTTTCTTATTTCTGAATCTTCTAATACGCCACTCTCCAAAGCTATACCTTCTTGTTTTCTAATGGTCTTTAAATGCTTGGTATAATCTGTTAGCCTTTCTTCAACTTGCAATTTGGCTCCAAAATTGGTAACTCCATAAACACTGGTCATCACGGTTCTTTTAACAATCTTTCTATCAAGAAGAGGATAGGCAACCTTGGCCAAATCCTTATTCTTTTTTGTTTCAAAATCGCTGTGAACTCTTTCTTTAACAAGATTTAAAACAGACATATAAACGTCTGATTTCTTTTCACTAGGGATAAGATTAACAGCTTTCCCACCAGCTTTATTGGCCCCTAATGCAGCATAATGCTGTAACCCATTGCAAGAACCATCTTGGTGAATTGGAGCTCTAGACAAGTAATTTTCGACTCTGTTTTCACTGCTCGACTCGATATATTCCAAGATTGAGTTTATTTCAAAGCAGTAACTTAAAGTTTGGAAAGGTTTATCAGCATTCTGCCACCACTTAGCCCCATAAAAAGGATTCTCAGCGGATTCTCTTATATTAAAAATGTTTTCATCGACGAACTTGATGCGGTCTTCAAAGCTTAGTTTATCTTCCCCGTAAACACCTGCCAAGTGGTATTTTATCCAATTGAAACCATTCTTGCCCAAAGGCTTCATATCCCAAAAACGCATTAAGGCACGAACTGGATCACTATTCTGATGATGTACTATTGAAGTCATGGGATATGCCCGGCCTCTGGTATCAACATTGTGAGGAATGAAAAACATATCACCATTCTCGTCTATAGCATTACAATAGGTTCTTATACTTTCAAGTACTATTCTATCTCCTCTTCTGCCGTGATATTCTTTCAATCTCAAAGCCACATCACGATGGTATCTTCTTGTATATCTAGTGAATTGGTCATCATTTTCAAAATGCTCTCTTTTCGGTTCATCAGGAAGTTCAATTCGTAACTTATCTAGGTGTGGGGGTATGTCAAACAATGGAACGTCCATATCTAGTATCTGATTAAAAATCTTCAACATTTTGGTATCGATTATCCATTTTGTTGAGCCAAGCACATCAAGCGCTTTATATGTTGATTCTAACTGATTTGACTCATGGGCAGCATTAATGTATACCATCAGGTTAAACTTTGAAGTAGATGCAACAATTTTTTTGAGATCGAGTAGAAACCCACCATCCGATGGAGATACCCAAGGTTTGGGTTCACAGAGCATTGGTAAAAAAGTCTTCATACCTTCGGAAAGTTCGAAATATTTTTGATATTCAAGAAGCAAATAAGGATGAATTTTAATGATTGCGTAAAATCTTTCGAATTTGCCATGTTTGGAAAACTGTTTTGATACAATCAGTAAAAAAGCAGGATAAGAATCGTTAGATTTTTCAAAGAATAATTCATCATTATCCGATTCTACTTTATCGATTAATTTTCTTGCTTCATAGACTTGAGAATCTTTTACTAAATTAGAATTGATTGTGCAATTTGGGGCCATAATTTTTATTAGAGTTGAGAAAAACTCAATTGCATCATCTTCAGTCATGAATTTTAAAATTTGACCATATATATGTTTATTTTTTTTATCACGAAGTACTAATTGGATAAACTTGGATCTTAATGACTTACAAAATTTAGCAGCGCCAATGTGGCCATCTTTGGAAGTTAAGGCTTCGGTAAGAAGATCATTAATGACAAGGTTGACCAATTCAGGACCTGGAATAAAATTTAAATGAGCAGTATACTTGAGTAAGTGAGTTTCTTCGAGCGATAAGTCTGCAAGACTTGATTTGTCTTGCCCATCGATAGTGTCTAATTTAGATTTCAACCCTGATAAGACCGAGACATTATGTGAGATCCAGTCTCCAACCATTTTGGAAAGTTGCATGCTGTAGGTGTTATGGGTCGGGGAGTTAGAAGAAGTCAAGTGGAGGCAATGATTTTCAATTGTTAATTCTCTTTTTCTATTGAAGTTCATATAATCATTCATGAATTCCAGTTGCTTTGACTTTGGAAGAGATTTGTATATTTCGTACAACGGTTTTTTAGAACCGTTATCGAATTTATCAAATCTAGTGTTAGAGATGAATTTGCATAATCCAGAGTACGATAAACGACCCAGTTCTTTATAATGGTTAATCGAGAGCATTTCTTCATCAGGGGATAACACTTTAGCAGATTCTTTTGAAATTTGCAACAAAGTAGCCGAGTCGATATGAGGACGAAGTATAGATATATAATGATCTAAATCCAGCGGGGTTAATGATTTTGCCAAACGGATGTAATCGACGTCAAGCAGTTGTAAAATGGAAAAAACATACTCTGAAGCGGAGCTTCTCAACAAGGAGTCCAGTTGAATAGATTTAAACCAATGAATAAGGAGAATTATAAGGGACTCAACTACCGAAGAGAAGTTTTCCCTCACTTGGATATCATGAGTGATGATTTTAGGTGGGACTTTAACAAAAGAGCCAGATTTACCGTCTATATACAAAGACGAGTATTTTTTATGATAAGCCTTGTGGAAATGGATAAAATCGGTTATTATAGGTTTCAATTGCAAGATTTGAAAGTCTGAATCATTTTTCAATTTGAGTAATAAAATCGACAAACAACTCAAATAAACATTCATATTAATCAACGTGGGATGCATTGCTATTCGACGATACAAGACATTCAACGAGCTATTACACTGTACCAAATCATTTTGGAAAACTGCATGAAGTAGATGATTAACTTTAGTACGTTGATCCAAACGACGGAATTTATAATTCAAATTCTTTGCATTATAAATGTTTTCCACATCGATTTGGTTTATATTAAGAATACTCAGTCTGGAGGCACTTCGCCAAAACGATCGACTAACCGAGTACCTTATACATAGGGGCACTTTCCCCATTTTCCAATCAAGTACAGTTCAAGTATCAAGCGATGGCATCTACGTATATTGTAAAAAAAAAAAAAAAAAAAAAAAAATTAATGCAAATTGAAAAGACCCGATTCCAGGTGGTTATGCAACTAATTATTTATTGCAGTCTGAATATTGAAAGTAACTGCTGGGAGAGCAGTAATTTCAGCAGTTACATTAGCATCAATACCAAAACTCATTAGGATTCCTCTGATTATACCACAGGGGAACCAAATATAGGAGCTTGATTTAATCAAAGTGTCACTTTCAGTTTTCGAACCATTGAGATTATTTATAAGCTTATAATTATTATCAACCAACACAAACGTCCCCCGATGATTGGTTCTTAAATTATCCATTTGTTTCCCGTAAAGGTTTTTCCATACATCTCTACAAACAAATTTCATGATATCCAATACATCAACAATCTTGGTTGATGAATTTTGCGATATGTTTGGATTTGATATCTTATACATTAAAACTTCCGAAAGCCTTAATCCCAAATTGTATCCGTAATTCTCAACTCTAATAGTAACATCATCATTGTTTATCAATGGATTCTCCAATACATTAACTGTTCCTGGTAAATCATCCGGTATACTTGATAATTTTGTATCGAACCTAGTTTGTTCATCAATATTAGCCATGGCATTACTGGTTTCTTTCAATTTATGGGACACTCGAATCGAGGTGGGCACCACCTCCAGCAAAAGAAGACTCAAGCACGTTGAATTGACATATTTCTGTGAATCTAGAATATCACCCATGGTTGATTGACCAAGCACTTGATTATCTGGCTCGAGTTCGAAAAACAAAAAAAAAAAAAATTGGTGTGTGAGAAAGAAACTCGAGCTGGTGCACGGGTGCGTTCTGCCTTACCCCAGATTACCCTAATTGAACCAATCCATCTAAAACGGACAATTGCTTATTGCACCTGGCGACACCTGGTTGCAATGGCAATTGATCCATGGTTGTTATTAGTATTCCTCATCAAGATTACTCAATCAATCCATTCACTAATCCACCGTTTGAAATTCGCTTTGATATAAATATCTCATCAACTCTCTGCGTAACTGAGTTCAAGAGAGAAGAGTCAATCGGTATATGTACGGAGGTATTGCCAGCGGGTTCTAGAACCCTGGCGCCAACCGCCGGCCGCCCGCACACGTGATGCCAGGATACACCCATACACCAAAGCACACTTTTTTTTTTGGCCTGGTGCGGGTAACACCCCCAGCCTGCCAGATCCGGCCAGCCTCCCGCCAGCACGGGCCCCCAGCACCGTTTCCCCAGGCCAATCCGAGGCCAGCGACGCTTTCCGGCCACCACAGGCGGGCGTGTCCTGCATCCAGGCCCCCCCAGCACCAAAAAAGCAAAAGAAGCATTACAATGCAGCAAAAACCACAAACAGACAAAATGGAAAAAATCCCAAAAAAACGGGTCAAATTGCATTTCCCGCTTTTTTTCCCTTTTTTTTACACTTTCACTTTTACATTTTCTTCGAATTTGGGGAGGTGTACGGGTTGGGCTTTACAAGTGGGGGGTTTCTTTTTTTAATTTCATTTTCATTTTTTTTTTCGGTTTTTCATGTCCCAACAGAAGCAGGGTTGTGCTGGTGTAGTTCTTCAGCCTTACTAAACCCTTAGGCTTGAGGTAGGAAAAACCGTTCAGAGAAAAACCCACTGGTTTGAGTTTAAAAAAAAAGTAGAAAAAAGGGAAATTACACGCTCTTCATCATTTTCTCTCTCATTTTTTTTTTTTTTTTTTTTTTTTTTTTTTTTTTTTTTTTTTTTTTTTTTTTTTTTTTTTTTTTTTTTTTTAAGAGAGGAAAAAAATAGACTTCAACTAATTCCTACTNTTTTTTTTTTTTTTTTTTTTTTTTTTTTTTTTTTTTTTTTTTTGGTTTGTAGGAGAGGAAAAAAATAGACTTCAACTAATTCCTACTTCTCTTTCATAACTCAACCATTCATCTTCAGCATTTTACTTCATTGATAACCAAACTCAAGCAATACATCATACTTGAAGACACACTCAAGCGTATATTATCCGTTTTAACCCGTTTCCCCCCTTTTTTTCCGTTTTTCATATACCTTTTTCCATCCATATCTTTTTTTTTTTGTTTTTTTTATCGTTTGATATTCATTAACGCCATTGGCCATTTCCACTTAGTTTGGCTTTATTTCATCCCCGTTGCGTTCGTCTAGTTGTACTCACGGCTCGTCCCTTCTGTTTGACTCGACCCTGATATCTGATTTCCTGGTTAAAGGTTATTTAATTTCCATCCCCAGATTCTTCCTTTGTGATAATACTTTTAATTCGAGTATCTCGTTGTATTTCTAGTTTTAATTCAGTTTCTTTTTGTTTTTTTCCCTTTGAATTATTATCAACTCCCTACCTCCAGCAGGAATAGTTTTTTTTTCCATCTATTCATTGTATTATTATTAATTTTCATCTTTGCCGCCCAGGTTATCAAAGTCATAAGTCATTTTATTTCCCCTTGTGTTTTTACTAATATTATTACATCTGCATACATCATAATGACTTCTGAATCAAATCTTAATCATTTTTCTACCGTTCCCTTGGGCTCTACCGCTCCGGCTCCTCCTGCTCCTCCTGCTCCTTCTCGTCTTGCTACAAATGGTGGTCTTTTACCTTCCGGTACTTCTGCTCCTCCTAATGGTCCAGCCACTAATCCTCCTCCTCATTTATTAAATACTTTTCAACCTCAATCTCCTTCCACTACAAGTATCTTGAAAATCTCAAACTTACCTCATGATTTAACTAATCGTGAAGCTTCGCTTATATTTTCTTTGGTTGTTGATGATATTATTAATATTGAAATCAAAGATTATCAAATCATTGCTTTTTTCAAAACTATTAATACTTGTCTTACCACGGGGAAATTATTAGAAGGTAAATTTATCTTTGGTAATGAATATGGTCCAATCAAGGTTGATTATGAAAATTTACCAATCCATTCTCCAAATTCTTTATCAAATACAACTACTAATTTCCAAAATTTAAGATTATCTTCCATCTCAAATATTTCTCCTCCAAACTTAAATAATCATCTCCATCTGCATCTTCAAGCATCTCAACAATCTGCATCTCAACCTCAACAACAACAACAACCTCCTCCTCCTCCACAACAACAACAATCTCTGCAACAACAGCATCCGCAACAACAACCTCTGCAACAGCCTCTGCAACAACAACAACCTCCTCAACAACCTCTGCATCAACAACCTCTGCATCAACAACCACCTGATCAATCTGCATACCCTCCTTATGATACTTTCCAAAAAAGACAATCAATTGGTAATCAACGCTCAAGGTTTTTGTTTAGTGACCCTTTCTCTAATACCTCCCCCGCTGCAAATGGTCCTCCTAATCCTGCTCAACCTCCACAATCAGCTCCGGGTATTAACGGAACCGTTCAGCCATCTACTCATGCTCCTGGTTCAATTGATTTAAGTGATTTGACCGGTAAATCTTTACTCTTAATGGAATCACAAAATGATAGCTATAATTTGGTTACTAGAGATCCTTGGGGTAACACTCCTTTACCTCAATCAGCTACTACTTCTCAACCTGGTCCTTCTCAATCAATAGGTCTTGGTTCCGCTGATAATTCTCTTCATTCTGGTACTCATACTCCCTTTGATTGGTCTCAACAACAACAGCAGCAGCAGCAGCAGCAATCTGCTCCTCCTTCGAGTTCTAGTGATCGTAGAAAAATTTCATCTGCCTTTTTCAATAATCCTCCTCCTTCAAATCCTCAATCCTCAAGTGGTAATTCCACATCTCAATTACCTGCATTATCAGTCCCAGGTGGATCAAATCAACAACAACAACAACCACAACAACAACAACCACAATCCACTAATACTGCTGCACCTTCAGCTGCTAATCCTCAACAACAACAATCTCAACAATCTCAACAGTCTGCATCCTCTCAACAACAACTGCAACAACTGCAACAACTGCAACAACCATCTGCTGCACAGGTTATTGCTGCTGGCCCACCATCTACCCAACCTCCGGCTTCTGGTATACCGACTAATGGTCAGCCAACCGCTGCTGATATTTTAAGTAGTTCTGGTGGCTCAGCTTCAGGAGCTCCTACTTCTTCTAATGCTTCTCCTGCTACTTCAAGACAATCTTCAAGTAAGGATATTCCAGATTTATCATTATTAGCTCGTGTTCCTCCTCCTGCCAATCCAGCTGATCAAAATCCTCCTTGTAATACTTTATACGTTGGTAATTTACCTCCAGATGCTACAGAAGCTGAATTAAGATCATTATTTGCACCACAAAAGGGTTTCCGTCGTTTATCCTTCCGTACCAAAAATCAATCATCTGCTAACTCAAATGCTAGTAATCATAATCACGGTCCAATGTGTTTTGTTGAATTTGATGACGTTGCATTAGCTACAAGAGCTTTAGCTGAATTATATGGTAGCGCTTTACCAAGACCAAATGGTAGTAATGGTAAAGGTGGGATTAGATTGTCTTTCTCCAAAAATCCTTTAGGTGTAAGAGGACCTGGTAATCCAAGAAGAACATCTACAAATAATATTTCTACATCCTCTAGCAATGTTAATGGCAATGCTAATGGTGTTGGGAATTATGGTTATCTGAATTATCACCAAAAGTAGTCTATTAAGATTTCATTTAATATCATTCTTCTTTTTCTAATTTTTTTATTTTAATTTTTATTTTTTATCTTTATCTTATTTTCTTTTCCAAATTTATGTTGTCTTTATAATTTAATACTCCATTTCTAATTGTTTCCTTTATTTATCTATGTTTCTTCTTTTTCTTTTTTTTTCTTATTCTCCCCCTCGTTTCAATCGTCTCGATATCAATTGAGTAGCTTTTTTTCATTTTTTTTCTAATAATGCTTGTTAATGCTGTTTATTTTGTCGTCATCAATTACTCATTTTGTTTTTAATCATCACTTCTCTATATATATAACTCTAATTTTTCCGTTATTTTTAATAATGCTCTTCTTGACCTCTTTATATGTATTATTCTATAACTCTTTTTTTTTTGATCTTTACATATTTATAATCTTATTTCATTATTGTCATTAGAATATGTTTAAATTAGGTTTATACTGTTGTATTTGGTCATTTCCACAAGGCAACGTGTAAAAAATCCTTGGTAGTCAAGAATTGCTGCAAAAATCATCAAACTCACAAAAATGGTTGTTTTTTTTGACGAGTTATCATAAGAACAAAGGGTTACAAACGGCAAAAATGACACTCTGATTTGTCATCTTCGTTGCTACAATTTCATTTAAAGAATGTTATATTATATTCATTATATCATAAAAAAAGTATTAACGTTTTTTATTTGGTAATAATTCAATAAAATCTTTTGAATTTGCATATACTTGATTTAGCCAATTTGAGTTTAATAAACTATTAGCATCCAATCTTTTATCAGGTTGAGGATTTAGTAGACTAAAAATGAAATATCTGGATTCATGGTGTAATTTTTTAAATATTGCTAATGCTGGATTATATTGCATATTAAAATTTTTATCATCTAATTGATTAATTAGACTATTTAATAAATTTTCATCACTGGGGTAATGCTTAGCATACTTATGATAAGTTTTATTGGAGGAATCATTTTTCAAATCAGCATCATTCCAAGGAACTCTCATTAAATAGATTTGAAAGTAAAAAATTCCTAATGACCAACAATCTAATGCTTTAAAATCAATTTTTTCGAGATAACCCAAATAATTTTCGCTATCAATTAATCTTTCATAATCAAATAATTCAGGAGCTTTAAAACTAGTTGTACCACAACAAATGTCGTTCAATTTTATTTGTTCATCAATTTTATTCAAATCAAGAGTGTAACCAAAATCACTGAGTCTGATTGTCCCATCTTCGTCGATTAAACAATTTTCCGGTTTTAAGTCTCGATGAACAATATTTCGTTCATGCAAAAAATTAACTCCTTTTACAATTTGTTTGAAAACAGCATCTTTCAAATTTGAGGTAAGTTCAATTTTATTCTTTCTTAATTGTGATAGGTAATCCAATAAGTCACCTCTTGGATAATAAGGGATTATTAATGAGACTTCATTTGCTTCTTCATTAACAGCAAGATCCAAAACATTAATGATTTGTTTACAACCCAAGCATTGCTTGACGTTATTATATTCTTTGAAGACAAGTGCACTGTAATTATCATTTGAATGATTTGCTTGTTTTTTGATTGTTTTAATAACCAATATATCTCTTTGATTTCTATTAGTACCTTTGAAAACAACTCCATTTGCTCCCTCATATATTGGTTTACTATTAAGCTTAGTATAATCAATTCCAACTACATGGTCAATACTTGCTATATTACCATTAAAGCTTGGAGGTTGCATGAATGACTTGTTCGAATCAGTAGTAACTGATCTTGAAGTCAATTGAGTTGGAGTTCTCGATGTCATTGATGTCGATACATCAATCGCATCATCATCAAGTAGCATAGACAGTTGTGACTTGAAATTTTGAGGAATAGTAGGGGAAGTACCTTCATGTGTTGAGCGAGAAACCGCTCCATTAGACTGGATTGGAGCTGCCTTCGTGGCTGTAGGTGGACTACTATCATTTATAGATAGACTCTGTTCTTTAGTTTTATTAAGTATGATTTTACTATCCGATGTTTCAGACACTAATTGTTTCCGATGCTCAACTTTATGAGCTTTTTCATCACTCAGGGATCGCCTGAGCTGACTCAACTTTGATGGGATTGATAAAATACTCTTAAACATTTGCCAATCATTAATTAACTAAGACTTCTTCGATTCAAAGAACAATTTGTTTGTCTTTTTCTGTTTGATTTTCAATCACTTGATTAAATACCGTTGTCAACTTAAACCAACAAGTGAGATTCAAATGACTTGACAATACTATATTTTTAACTTTTGACAGCTAATATGCTGTTCCCTTGTCGAGATCGCTTTGCCTATAAATCTGGTACCTGGTCACAACCATAGAATACCAAAAACCAATTAGTAACTCGGGATTAGAATTCAAAGTATTGCAGTCTGCGTCGAAGTGGCAACCGGTAGCTTACTGATCCTAAACAATATTCGTTCTTCGGTTGAATCAGCTGGAATCAAACAATATTATCTCAATCTATTGATAATCTTCTCCCGTATTGTCCTCTTCCCTTCCCTTTTACAAATCCAGTCTTGCCAATTTACATCAGCGATGGATCCGTACATCCAATGTCGCGTGTCGTACGACTCGCTCCCTCGGCCAAAAAAAAAAGGAAATGTCGCGTTCGTTTTTGTTGCTCTGAGCAGATTTTGTTGCTCATCGAATTTCGCATCCAGTCAGGGTTTTTCTGCTTACGGAGGTCACAAGCTAATAGTAATTTCAGGGTTGGAGAAGCCTGCAAGAGATGCCATGACTTTAGTAAAATGGGATAAGAATAAATAGGTAAAATACGTAGAATGTAATTTAGTCAGCTGAATTTGAATGACTAAAGTCGACTAAGTTTCGCCGGTTGTCGAAAGGATGCCTAATTTTGCATCTTTTGGAATTACCGTTGGATGTCATATTATTGCAATTCTGGTTCGAGCTGATGAACTGTTCATGCGTTTAGAACTCGTACATGCTCTACGTTGAAGTATGAACCAGTACTGGCGTGATGTAGCCTAGAACAACAAGTATCGTAAAACTTCAAAGTAATAATAGTAATAAACTAAGCCAAACCGAAAAGAAAAAAAAAGAAAAATAGGGTAAGTGACATTGCTAACTGCCGATATTATTAGTCTTTTTCCGTGATGTAGCTTAATTACTCCTTGAAATATATAAGGAAGTGAATTTACCTTTGGAAATAGTTGTAGAGAAACCCAATTGACTCAATTGACTCTATATTGAATATGCTCAGACGTTTTTTGACCTTCATCCCAGTGATTTTGCTACTTGGGTCTTCTCTTTTATTATTTTTGGTTAATTTAGCTGGAACCCGGGATTCTGGGGTTCTTAGTAGATACTATTGGTCTGAAACCAATACGTCTGGTATATCCGGGTCTGACTTTAGCAGAACCAGATGGACTCCATATGGGATTTGTGGTGTTAAAGATGGCCGTAATTCTGATTGCGTAAAGCATTCTCCGGCTTATCCATACTCTCCAAGAGATAATTTTAAATCAAGTTCGGGTTTACCAAGTAGTTTTAATAAAAGTAGAGATACTTATTACTACTTGTCTCGTTTTGCTTATGCTTTATTTTTGGTTGGTTTGGTATTTTCGCTCTTGTCACTTCTTCCAATCATTGCCTCGTGCTGTGGTATTGGTTTCTTGACTGGTATGGCCAGTTTTGTGGTTGTTGGTTTGGCATTGTTATTTACTTTGACTGCAACTTGTCTCATTACTGCTGCTCACGTCAAGGGTAGAAATGCTTTTAACAGTGCCGGACACCATTCTTCTTTGGGAGTTAAAATGTTTGCAATGGCTTGGGCTGCTTCGGCCTGTCTTTTACTTGCATTTGCTTGGACCATTATGATGACTGTTTTGGGTATCAAGCGTAAACTTGGTAATAGAAATGAAAAGAGTGATTCTGAAGCTGATCATAAATCAGAAACGTCGTCTTCTTCTTATCATTACAATGGTACTGTTGCCCAGAATCCCTATGAACGTCAAACTGGATACCAAAATAATGATGGTTATGTTGCAAATGCAAATGATGAATCTAGTTTCCAACATGAGGGTCAAGAAGAACAACCAAGATTCAAATTTTTCCATTTTAAAAAGGCTAATCCTGACAAGGAGTAGACTTGTGTGATGAGATCTTCTTTAATTCTTTTAATGTCTTTTTATACCCTAATTTCAATATAAATACTACAACGATAATCTACAAGCAATATTTGTAAACACTTTTTTTTTCATTTAATTAATCCCAGAGGTAGGTGATCATTCTCCAACCGGTAATTTTGGGGAAGGGTGGTTCAGGCTTATCTTCAACATCTTGGAATAACAGTTTCAAATCAACATCGGTTGCTTTTCTGAATTTTGTTCTTTTAAGAAGTTTCCAGAATACATAAAGACAAAATGCAAGTGGAATAACAAAATAAGCAGTGAATAATTCTGAAAATTCAAAATTTCCCTTAATAAAACATGGGAATCCTCCAGTTAATAAAAATAACATTGAAAAAAATAACGATATCCACGAACAGTATTGTCCTCCTTTAAATTTATAAGGTAACATATCTCTAGAATATCCTTGTGCTTTCATGGCTCTGGTCATCATAATATGATTAAAAGCAATAAGACACCAACTGATCAAAATATTACTAGAGGTGATATTTTGAAACCAGGAAAATACAGTTGATGAGCCCGACGACACTGACATGAATGCTAACGAAAGAAACAAACATGCAAACCCAACACCAACATAAGGTATACCATGTCTATTAACTTTTAAGAAAATTTTAGGTGCTTGTTTTTTACCAGCTAAAGCGAAAAGTGTTCTACTGACTTTTAAAAGTTGCAAATTAGCTGCTGAAAATGCTGAACTCAATACAATTGCATTAATTATATGTGGTAAGACTTTAATACCGGCTCTTTGAATTGAAACAACAAATGGAGAACTAGTAGCATTTCCGGAACTATTTGCAATCTTTGGATCTCTAGGATTAGCAATCATGGTGACAATTAAAACTGCAGAAAGATATAAACTCAAAACACGAACAAATACTCTTTTCCCAGTTCTATAGATTGTCCGTCTTGGATATTCAGTTTCTCCACATAATAAACAAATACCTTGAACACCCCCATAAGCATAGACAACCGAACTTAATGCTTTCCAAAAAGCTGCAAATTTACCTAAATTACCAGTAGTGTATTTTGGAATGAATGGCGATACTTTCCAATAATGGAATCCTAATCTTTCGGTTTCAGCACCACCTAAATCAATAACTAACCCAACAATAACTAAAAGAGTTACGAGAAACATTTTTAAAGTACCAGCTACAAATTCAAACTCTCCGTAAAATTTAATATTCCAACAATTGATGAATGCAATCAATACTCCGAAAACTGCAATATAAACCGCAGGAGAAGTATGACTGTCCCAATAAGAAATAATCACTGGAATAGCAGCCGTTTCGTTAGGAATGATATTAGACCAAATATCAAGATACCCCATTGTGAATGATAACGCTTCATCACAAAAATGATTAGCATGAATCACATAGCCAGACGTAGTGGGGAAAAGACATGTTGTTTCAATACAAGCAAGCTGATTTGGTAATAAACAACATACCCCAACTACAATATAACAAAGAAACATTGATACACTCCCAGAACTGAGAGTGGATCCACTTGATAAGAATAAACCAGTACCGAAAACAGTGGAAATAACCTTGGTTAGTTAGTAAGATCGATCCGTCACAATTCAACTGTTATAATACATACTATAGTATTGAGATGTCTGGATGATAATTTAGATGATAACTGATTATCTCCACCGAAAAGCTTATTCGTAGTATTATCTTCAGAGTAGGCCCCCAAAGACTCGAGGTCTTGATCCACAGTAATTTGTACTGGGGCCTTTTCTTCTTTCTTCAATTGATCTTGAGACATACTTGGTGTATAAGCTTCTTCAAACAATTTGGAAAGCTAGTCCCCTTGCTTCATTTTATACTCTTTCCGCTTTATCTCCCCGTATCTCCCCTGGGCTAATCTCAATAATAGAATACCACCACCGTTTAAACTAATATTACTTCGAAATTGCAATTAAAACTGCAAAAAAACCTATTGGCAGACAAAAAAACAAGGATCCATACTGCATATTATCAGGGCTTTTGGGGAGAGATAGAGATAAGGACATTATTGATTCATTTGAATGCTATCTAAAACTTGGAATATTAGATTGAGTTTATTGTTCTATGATTCAAGGATTTTTATCTTGACAATTGCCCGGGGGGTTGGCATCAAGTGACTTGGAATTCAGTTATCGAAACAGCGTTTTTTGAGGATTCGGCATTTCAAAATGACAGCATCAATATTATTTTTCTCAATTCTTATTAGGATTAATTAATTACATGACAGGGCTTACCGTCAGACAGGAAGCCACATTATGGCGACGGTAAAGTGACAGGCAACATAGCATGAGACTTTGTAGATATTGGTGTATTCCATCGGAATCACAGAAACTGTGCGACGGTATCAACTGATAAGAGACAAACAGAAGATAAGAAGGGATGTCCTTAAAACAAAATGAAGTACGGAAAAACAAACTGTTTGCGTAATGGTTCCTGTTTTCAGATATTGGAAGATTGGTACCCATGCTTGAATGGTAGGGGAACTTAAGCTGATATTTCACCTAAGCTCAGTGTGGATAGGGTCTTGATCGAACTTTCAGTGATTTTATTACATGGCAATTGTAGAACTTACGTTTCTGTGGTGGCGTTGGTTTTCAGTCGGCGTTTTCCAGTTATCTCTCGTATAAATTATGCCAAAATTGTGATTGAGTAGCCGTTCTCATTTGGCTGCTGGACTGTCCCGTGAACTCTTATGGGTTAGCCCAGTACTTATTCAGTACTCTTATTCAGTACTCTTATTCAGTACTCTTATTCAGTACTCTTATTCAGTACTCTTATTCAGTACTCTTATTCAGTACTCTTA